GTCTTTGGTTACTTACTAATTAAGTAGTAAGTATTATTCAGATGGAGAGAGTTATTCAGATGGAGAGAGCAGTCCAGTCAGTAACTGATAGGCAACAGATGGATAGATGTGAGTAGTGGGACCATGAGATTATAGGAGGAATTCTATAAACTGAACTACTGTGCTGACCCCTACAGACATTCTTTTACCAAGCAATTTACCTGCAACCCTACCTGGCTTAAGTCAACAGGAACTTTACATTCCTTAACAAGATACCTCTTATTTGCAGAAAAAAATGCAACCCCAAAATACCTATAGGAAGAACATGGTTATCTGGAGGGAAAGTTTTGTGATCCTTACACAGACCAGATCCTAGAACTCCAGGAGATTAGGATAATTTCACCTAATCATAACATCTGTAAGAACAGATTCTTAGAGACTTTATGGTTCCAATTAGAACCAGTCAGCAAAGGCAAATTTGACCTAGACTTGCCCTGAAACCTTGCCATGTGCAATGGGGCTTGGTGGTCTGATGCCATCCTTCTGTCAGTCAAAAGTCTAAAGGTGGACCTGGGAGGGACTCTGGAAACTTCCCTGAGACTTACAATAAATGTTGAGGGCAGGAGGGGTGCACCTTCCTTCTATGAAGACCCAATCTCTCCTTTGAGAAAGTACCCTTTTCCATCCCTCTAAACTCAATCACATGGCCAAAGTCCTTCCTGCATAATGGCAACAATCAGTAAGAAAGGACTGCCTGGCCACCTCAGCTCCACCATGGGCACTGCAACACAACTACACAGCACTGTGGCTGGCTCTGTTATCTTTGCTAACCATCCCTTTCATGCCACCATGAACTCTAGGAGAACAGACACTCTACCCTGGCCACCATTGTCCCTCAACATCTGGATCAGAGCCTCTCCCATGGCAGACATTCAATCCATCTTTGATGAGTGGGTGAAGATTCTATTATAGTCTGAAAGTCTGGGTCCCCCATCACAAGATTTATATACTGAAATCCTACCCCTAAGGTGAGAGCCTTGGGAGGTGGGGACTTTGTGAGGGGATTAGATTGTAACAGCAGAGACTTCAGAAATGCAACTAAGGTCCTCATAACACAGAATTCAGAGACACCCTCTCCCCTTCTGCTACATGAGGACACAGTGAAAATGTGCCACCTCACCAGACAGAATCTGATGGAGCCTTGAACTTGGACTTCCCATCCAGGATAAAGAGAAACAAATGTCTCTGATTATAAGGCACCTACTTTGTGGCCTTTTGTTATAGAAACCCAGTAGAATAAGAGCTTCTATCAACACCAAGATTCATCAGAAACCAAGTCCATGTGACCCCATCCTGACAGCCTCTCTTTAAAAAATATGTCCCATCAGGAAACCACACAAGGAATTATAATGCTTAACTAATTTGACAGAAGGGAAAAGGAAGCTTTCCTGGGGTGAGATATTTAAATACCTAAACACTCAAAATTATCTGGAAGAAACAGGTGTGGGATGGGTGGGCAATTAATAGAAACTCCCAGTGAAGCAAGAATTCAAGACAGGCAGTCAGTATAGACAGGATGGACAGCAAAAATGGAGGCTAGTTTGGGTCTGGGAGATTGGAGA